GCTAGCTAGTTCCCTACCAACCTTTACATAGGTCCGTAGCCTGCTAGTTGCCTGCCTGCCTGCCTTCACTTAGGTCCCTAGCTAGCTAGTTGCCTGCCTGCCTGCCTTGACTTAGGTCCCTAGCTAGCTAGTTGCCTGCCTGTCTTCCTGCCTTCAATTAGGTCCCTAGCTAGCTAGTTGCCTGCCTGCCTGCCTGCCTTAGCTTAGGCCCCTAGCTAGCTATTTTCCTGCTTGCCTGCCTGCCTTCAGTTAGTTCTCTAGCTAGCTAGTTGCCTTCCAACCTTTACTTAGGTCTCTACCTAGCTAGTTGCGTGTCTGTCTGCCTTTACTTAGGTCCCTAGCTAGCTAGTTGCCTTCCTACCTTTACTTCGGTCACTATCTAGCTCGTTGCCTGCCTGCCTAATAATAAATAAAAATAGAATAAATAGAATAGAATAGGGTAGAATAGAATAGAATAGGGTAGAATAGAATCGAATACATAGTGATACTCACCCAACAAACGAAGGAGGAGAAACAGAACTCCCAGGGCATAAGACTTTAGTTCAGGGTTGACTGTCCTATGTGCAAAGAAATGAAGGAAAAAAACAAAATTTCTTATCACTTTACTTTAATTAACAAATCCCAGGTCTCTCCATTGGAGTCTTTCCTTAGAAAGTTATTAATGAGTTTTGGGTTTTTCGGGTTTTTTTTTTTTTTTTTTTTTTGCTTCCTGGCTTTCCCTGCCTACAGTATAAAAAATAATGGTAACTATAGTGATAAGAGAAGTGTTTATTTACTGGAGCTCATCTTGTCATTCAAAAGCGATAATGTAAAGTTGGTCCATAATGTCTTCATTTAAGGACACTTTGTATTTCTGGGACAAAGAAATGTCTTAGGTTGACAGGTCATACGTATCAGAGGACCATTAGTGGGGAAGACCATGTTCATTATGCCTCACCAACAGGCCAGGCCCACAAACACCTCTGTGACATCAACCGGACTAGCATGGTTTGGCAGCCCAGACGGACCACTAGTGAAATAACCCATCCGTCTATAGATCCCGTTTCAGTACCTCTTAAATTGAAGAGAGGCAACTTCCCAGAGTCACAGTTCTTTGTTTTGAACGAACTCTGCCTCCCTGGCTTTGGTTAACCCAGACCACTGTCTTTGATCTCGCAAGCTTTCTAGAATACTCTCGGGGTGTAAAATTTTCTGGGGAAACCGCTATGTCGCCAGACACCTGTACAGTATCACGGAGGAGGTCGACGGTCCGTTCTCTCTGGAATGTATATGTTACGAAACCCAAGCTCCTCAAAGTTGTCATCGGCCCTGTGGCTGCGGTTTTTCTGCACATTCGTTTGAAGGGACTGACTTGAAAAACACCTTAAATAAAGGCAAATTCTCCTCATCAAGAAAACACGCTGGCATAATGAGCTCGAATATTTATCACTTGAAATTTGATTTCCTTTCAGCCGTCCTGTCACTAGGAATAAAGTGAGTGAGGTGCTAAGCTCTCCATTTCCTGTTGGGAAACTGGTTCCCATAGGAGGAATGATCTTCAGATCTAGGTATAGAGCAACGGCCTGAATGCTGTTGGAAGTTCCATGCAAGGCCAGGGTGCGAGCCTAGCTCCACAGCCTATGAGCTGCCAGACTCTGAGGGTACTGCTTACTCACCTCGGAGCCGCCTCTGTCTCTCCATCTGTAGAAGGGGTATGCTTTTACATAACAATGGAAACACAGAAAGTGCAAACAGAAGCCCCGCCTGGCCCGAGATGGGGCTGGCGAGTGCCAGCTTGGATTCTCACACTGTTGTCCGCAGGCATGCTCTCACATGGCGTGACAGGGTGACCTCTGCTCTGGGACAGGATGAGGGCTGGCACACATCTGGCCTGTGGCTGAGGCTGAGCCCTTGTGTCTGCTTGGAACATCAGTGATGGCAAAGTGGACTGGGACGGTGACGGAATACGGTACAATGTGTGAGTCTGTGCTTCCGTCAGACCCCAGCAGGGGATGGGCACAGCCTAGGTCACTAAGGCCATCTTTTCTGCTGATCTATTTATAGGGAATCGAATATTTCCTGAAAATCTCTAAGAGCGGCCTATCAAGCTGAGATGTGGAAGAGACTGAGGTTTCAACCGACTGTCTTTGTTTGATCTGCCAGGCACAACTACTGAGCAGGGGTTTTGCAGAGGAGTCACGGGGAGAGAAAAAAATGGGGAGTGGTCACTGCTCATGGCAGTGAGAGTCATTATTCCTGCTTCTTCGTGCCTTCTATGTGTGAATAGCACAATACAGCTTCATGGGAATTTCTAAGAATTTCTAAAAATAAACTACCGATAATGCAGCCACTCCAAACCCATACCTGAGATCTGATAGTTTTGTCCACATGCACGTGATATAAAATCACCCTCCGTATATAATTTAAATTCAATAGTTCGTTTCATAAACACTTTTCACATGCTTAAGAATTTCCATTACTCCATTGAGCAGCAGTACTATAATTTAACTCTACTCCAATTCAGGTTTTTCTGTTATGATAGTTAACGGTGTAATAAAAATCTGTCTGCATTGAGCTTTTTTTTTTTCTTGTGGAGAAGTATTTTCTTAAGATAAGTGGCAAGAGGTAGGGTTATCGCATAACAAAAAAATCTGAACATTTTTATGACTCCTGATTCACACTGTGATATTGCTTTTTAGAAAGGAGCAATATGCTCTTCAATGCCACCAGCAACATGTGATTTTACGTTTTGCTACAGCCTTGCAAGCACTGGGTGTGAATTTTAAAAATCTACCGTTTGAATTTAGGAAGGGTACAGTGGCAATTTGCTGTCGTACGCTTAACGATTCTGCACCTTAACAAGATTTGCTAATGACCTTCTAGATCACGTAGGGGCATCACACAAATCCCCTTCCTTGGGAATTCATAACAAAGGTCAGGAAATGGGGTCAGAACAGCGAGAAGACACGAGAAGCTGGATCAAATCAGCTGGTGACGGGCGCAGTGGCACAGGTCACACCCTAGCATCTCACACCTTCCTTTACGTCTAGCCCCTGGGATCGAACTGGTTTGTCCAGGTCGCTGCATCCCAGTAAGGTGGCTCTGTCTGTCTGGTGTCGCTTCTGCGGCGGCATGGAGCATTCTACCCCTTGGCTCCTCACATAAATCCAGATACCGTTGCAAGCGCGTACGTTACAATACTGCTCAACAAGTCGCCTTTGAGGCACCCCACCTGCCCCCAGGACGGGTCCCGAGAGACAGGAAACTACAGAATTATGAGTGGCTCTCTCCAGCCACGGACCTGTGTAAGAACAGTCTCTGCTCGGCTTCCACGGCCCCCCGGCACTGCATCACCCCCTCTTCAGTACCCTGTCACACCTCTGGCATCCACGCACGATGGTCTGCAGGGCCAGTGACGTCACCCCTAGTTCCAGATTCAGAAACAAGCCGGAGACACAGGTGACAGTCAGTGGCCGGATGGAGGCTGGTCATGGGGACTCAGCCAGTTCAATGCCATCTGCATTTAACTCCAACGAAATCAATGCCAGGCCGCATTCCCCTTCAGCGCCACCATGGCCTCTTCTCAGAAGGCCATGAATGAGCATTTTCTCCCTTCGGCCCTGCCCTCTACTCTGAATGTGAGGTCCCTGTGTAATGCAGCCCATTCCTGTCAGCTTAGGGAAGCTGCCTCGTGAGGTTCACGTGGTATCTGAACTTCTGACCTCCGGGGCACCTGCGCACGCACACCTGGTGGGAAGGGGGAGCCGAGTGGGGAGGTTGGTTCTTGGGCCCCTGGGGACCCGAGAGGCTTACCTGATAAGGATGATGACCGAGGGCGTCTGTGCCATGGCCCCGATCATGCTGCAGACACACATCACACACAGGAAGGTGAGGAAGGCCTCTTGGCATCCGGGGCTGGGGCATTTTCCGGGAACCACGGTGGCGTTCTTGGGCGGGACGGTCGTGAGGCACGCGCAGCCCGTGAGATTCTGAAAGGAAGCAGTCAGCCCTTTTAATCGGGGGCGGGGGTGGGGGGTTGCGCATCTCCACTTTCTAAATCCAAGGCCATCTATCAGCTGGAGCTGCCACTGCCTAATTATGCATTCTGTAGCATCCCATCAATTAGGCCTGAATAAATGCGTTCGCATTTTAAGGAAGCTGCAAAACTCATGCAAATAAAGGCATATTTAGGGGGAGGAGAGCTGATTGCCCCATCTCCTGTGTATTTCATTTCCCCGGTCAAGAATCCCTCAGTACGCTGCACCACAGACAAATGTGTCCCCCACCCCAAGACGATTAGGAAATTCTGCTTCCACAATAGGATAAAACGTCACCAAATCCACGTTGTAATTACTTGCCAATTTGTCCTCTCTTTTATGCAGTTATAATTACACTGACGTGTATTAAAAGACGTGAATCAGGTAACCTGCCTATCGCTGCTGGTTCAGTGCCCCGCGTGCCACCTGGAACAAAGGATGAGCACCGCCACGCGCGAAGTAGCTGCAACCGTGGGGCCGCGAGACGGGGGAGCTGACGGGCAAGTTCTCGAGTGGCTGAGAAAGCAGGACTAAGAGAAGCCGGGGAGCCTGAAGCGGGTCGTGGGCAGCACGTGAAAGCCCAACGAGACACACTTGATGAATATATGATCGGACGGGAGGAAGAAAAGCCACAGTATCCCATTTGATCTTCCCGTGGATTCTCGCCCAGCCAGCCCTGTTCCCGGGCACTGTCCTCGCACACGTTCCAGGAATTTCTGATGGCAAACGGAGGGGCGGGGGCGGGAGAGGCAGCACCGAGCCAGCTCCCAGCCAATTAAGGTTCGATAATAATAGTGCAAGGGCCTTTAATGAATACACGATGAAAACAATCTTAAATGATTCCTCGCTGTTCTTCCGAGGGCTGCTCAGCTTTCAGAGCACACCACGAGGTAAATCCTCGTGGGGGGTCAAACAACCCCCCGCCCTCCGAGGGCGTCCACAGTTCCCCCCACCCCCGGCATCTCTC